GTGTTCACTTCAAAGTAATGACATTTCCGCTAAACATAGCAAACATACAATTAATTCAAATCATACAAAATCAATGGCCAATCACCCGGTGGTGGTGACCGTCGTATAGCATACCTGTGCCACAGTGTACGACCACTTGCCCTGATTGGGAAAGGCTATCGACTGGGCTATTATACAAACTAAGACTAAACATAATTTTATATACATTTTGTTCATTAAATACACAATTAATTGCTTTTTTAAAAACTATAATAATTGTGAAAAAAGTTTTTTGTTTTTTTCACAAAACGATTGCATAAACAGTGACTAAAATCTCTAAATCAAGCGATGAGTCAGTCAATGGCTATGAAAATAAAAATCACATTTTTATCGCCGAAACCAATGTTTAATAGTATTAAAAAACTTTTAAACAAAACTATTAAATGGTTTTTCGCCGCAAAATAGGCGTTAATGAGCCGTAAAACCAATTCATAAAAATCACAATCAATTCATCACTCAATGAGTTGTCAATGAAAACAGCGAAACACCGATCAAAACATAAACATTGCGTCCCATTCGCATACACTGTACGCCCAAAATACCCGCATTTGTAGTCCCCCTACAACCGCAACCAATCGATAATTAGCGACGTTTTTACAGCACTCTCTCGCACTGCCACTCAACACAAACCATTACCACAAAAGGGGTCCAAAAAGTCGGCCACAAATGCACGACATTATTATTGACACCCAAACGGATGATTAGATATACTTTTGAATTGTTTTGATTGAAAACATGACGTGTTTTTCAACACAGATATGAATTTAAGGCAAACTTTTTGTCGCCACTTAATCGCCATTTGATCCCAAGAGTCGCCGTATTCACGAAGACATTCACGCCATGCGTTTGCCGGCCATTAGGTTATCGGAGAACCTCTTATTAGTGACGATATATCTGTTGAATGTCTTGAGCCAAGTGTTGCTCAACGACGCGCCCCCGACCGCCACAGCCAGCGGTGGTACTCACCATAAGATCGAGACCTCCCATCAGAATGAGAACAAGTTCTTCGACGACAGCATCTACTATAAGATCAATTGGTTGGGCGATCGTCACGAGACCATCACCGACGACATCCACCAACACATCACCGCTTT